CTATGGTACTGTGATGGTGAGTGCCGCCTCTATGGTACTGTGATGGTGAGTGCCGCCTCTATGGTACTGTGATGGTGAGTGCCACCTCTATGGTATGCTTCCCTAACTATGCGAAGGGGACAGCCTTTAAGGTGAGTGCTACCTCTATAGTACTGTGATCACCAATTCCTTCTGTTCTGACTCACTAACCCTCTCTTGCATTTTCAGGCTTCACAGAAGCATGTCCGCCCTTTTCTCCTGCAAATCATGGATGATTTAGTGGATGATGAGCTGAAGCGGTTTAAGTTCCACCTGAACACCCAAGTAATGGATGGATTTCAGCCCGTTCCAGTCAGTCAGCTAGAACGTGCCGACCGGATAGATACAATTAAGAAAATGAAAAACCACTACAATACTGAGGGTGCACTTCAGATCACTCACGCCATATTGAAGAAGATGGAAATGAATGATCTGGCTAAAAAACTACAGAATATAATGAATATGGGTAAGAGTTCTAGCACGGTCTGTGCATTTCACAATGATAATTGTACTGATTATCACTTAGTAGTGAGTGTATGTAAGGCCAGAGCTGAACATAGTAAACGTCTGAACACTTAGTAACAAGTAACATTTATACAAACTAGATGTCTCCAGACTTGTATTTTTTCTAAATTTTGGTTAATTACGGCTTAAAAGTTTTATTTGTGCTCCATTGCATATTTTGTACTGGACACTTTGAACTTTTTGACTAGAAATGGTTAGTTGGGGGATGCAGTGGCATTTTCATGACCGATTTCTTTATTATATTTCACTTGGCAACAGATTGCACAATTTGCAGTTTAAGAAATATTTCTGTTAGTCATTGCTGAATAAAACAAAGAAGCAGACTTGTGTAAATCACGTTGACCGAGGATTTCTTCCTGTAGCGTAGTGACACAGCGTTTGAGCAACATGACCGTTATATTCTCCTAATGCTGGCAAACTCAGACCATGCGGTTACAACACGAAACGCAGACAGCTTGCCATCTTAACTGAAATGCATAGATACAAATATCTCATTTAATGCTTGGTAGCTGATAAGGGGGAAAATATCGGACTGGTATCAGAATTGGCTGATAATCAAAATATTCAAAATTCAAAAAATACCAGAAAAAATGATATTGTGCCATTTCTAGTTATTTGTATTTCTAAAGCTAATTATTAGCAGGAGGCCATTAAGAGAATAATCACATGGCATGCAGTAATAAACAATTTGATAGACATAATAATTGACATTTTGTGGGAATCGTTTTAAGGAAACTTATTTTAGATATTTATTTTATTTATAATAGTATAATATTTTATTTGTTTCCCAAAGTGCGCTCTCCGCCCAGCAGTCTCAGCATCAGCTCACTGGGTACAAACTCTGTCACCCTCGACTGGGAGAAGCCGAAAGGGATGGAGGACATTTCACACAGTTACAGTGTGACGTGGATGGACAGCAGCTCGAGCCAGAGCCATTCCATCATCACAGATGAGAACGAGGTTGTCTTGTCCAGCCTGAAACCAGGAACGGAGTACAGCCTCTCTGTGTGCACTATGCTGAAAGACACCGATCTCAAGAGTGAACCTGTCACCATCAAAACCTGCACAAGTAAGACCACACCTGTATGTCTGGAAGTCTGAGCTTGAGCAAAGTTAATCTAAAAGCGCTGCTATATACTTGATAACTGCTGTAAAATTTAATATGTAACCACAAACTGCACAAGTAATACTTTTTAAACATCATCTGGAGTTTCAATTACAGTGAAAGTAGTGACAATTTTATTCAACAGGGCATGAGCTGAGAATTGTGCTGTTAGGAAGAACTGGAGTGGGGAAGAGTGCAACTGGAAACACCATCCTGGGCAGGAAAGAGTTTAAGTCAGAAGTCAGCAACTACTCTGTAACAATGAGCTGTGCTAAAGCCAGAGGCAAAGCCTGTGGGAGAAAGGTGTCAGTGGTGGACACTCCAGGCCTGTTTAACACGAAGCTGAGCAAGGATGATCTCATAAAGAAGATCACAGAGTGTGTTTCCCTGTGTGCTCCTGGGCCTCATGCATTCCTGGTGCTGCTGCAGGTGGGCAGATTCACACAAGAAGAAAAGGAAACACTGAACATCATCCAGGAGGTTTTTGGCCCAGAATCAGCTCAATACACCTTGGTGCTGTTCACACATGGGGACGTTCTGGGTGAAGCTGCTGACCGATTTCTTAGCGGTGATGCAAAGCTTAAAGAATTCATTGAGAAATGCCAGGGTGGATATCATGTCTTCAACAATAAAGATGTATGGAATGCCAATCAGGTCATAAATCTGCTGGACAAGGTAGAGGAGCTGATCGAAAAGAATGGAGGAGGCCATTACACCAACGAAATGTTCATAAAGGCCAAGAAGGGCTGCAAGAAGAAAAACAATGAGGTTCTGCAAGACAAAGAGGAGGTGAAGAAAGAAAAGTACAAAACTCTGGATAAAATTTTAGCAGACTTGGATGAAAAAAAGAAAAAAAGTAATGAGTAACCCAGCATAAGAACAGTAACGGTCATATTTAATACATATTTAGCACATATGTGTATTCATATAATGTGAATAGTAAAGAAGAAAATGATCATATTCTCCTAATACTGTCTCAACAAGATAATCACAACATATTTTACTGCAGGATATGCTTGTGTCCACCCTGACATCATCGAAAGCACAGAATCCTGATCAATATTTCTAATTAATATTTTTCTGATTTTATAAAGAACATACTGCTAAATGTATCTGAATTTTCAAATTGTTATTCAACTTAAATGCTTTGTAAACATTTTGAATAATTTGTAGGTTATAGTTTTTTCTATAGTTGTTTTCTCTCTGTCATTTGTTGAACATGCAACTGTCTGGTTACCAACTTACTTTTCTTTGTTCATATATTTACCAAAATGGCATCTGCTAGCTAAATAAGTGTAAGTATTCCATGTTTTATTTTCAGTGTCAATGTTTTTTTTACCTTTAACTTATGCTAGACAATGCCAATCAACATAACCACAATGATAATAATAGTATTACTCTCAATAACCGAGTTCTTGATAAACAATTGGAAGATGCTTGAATATTCCTAGTAGGGTTACTTTTTGTTGAAAGATTTTGCATTTGATAAGTTTTATTTTGGTGAACTGGAACTGTAGGGAATCTTTCAGTTTCTTTTGTTTCATTAAATTCTACTTTTATAAAGCCTGTTGAATATAAAATAAAACCAGATAAACTGACTTCTGTGTCTTGTTTTTCTTCCCTCATACAGACTGTGAACTCACACACATCACTCAAAAACTGTTTTTTGTGCGTAATCAGATTCGTAAACCTGTAAAAGAATCTCTAAATGTATAATGAGATTTGCAAGTGTACCGAGATGTGTACATGATTAGACAAATGTGTAAATATGTACATAGGTATTAATGGCTAGAAAGTCTAAGTTCTTTGCTCCAAGAGACAAATCATCAGTTACAACTCAGGCGAACCTCTCAATTGGCCTTTTACGTGTGATTTTTGCTACACTTCTGCCATGGCAAATGTGTGTGGAGATTTGTCTGTGTGTGGAGGTTTTGAGGGCTTAGGGCTTAGCGCTGTCCTAATGGCAAGCTTTGGAGGGCTTAGGGCTTAGGGCTTAGCGCTGTCCCACTGGCAAGCTTTGGAGGGCTTAGGGCTTAATGCTGTTCCACTGGCTTAAATGTGGAATGCTGTCAGGGTATAAACTGCAAGACAGAATGCCTCTCAACATGGAATCTGAATGATACTGTATGTCTGAAGTATCAATTATATGCTGAATTCAGTACACATTTACAAATTCTTTTACACATTTACAAATCTGATTACAAACACATGGACTGAGACACAGTCACACAACTCTCCATGCACATTTGCAAATACCAAAAAGGAGAAAAATAAGAAGAAAAACAATAGAAAGGTATTTTGTTATAGTAGCTAGTTAGATGTCAGTAGATATACACAGTATGCAGAACTATTAGGCAAGTAAATTTATTTAGAGAGAAAATTTTACATTTTCACAAACAAAAATAAAAAAAGCACTTGATTATCAATAACACAGTTCTTAGGAAATCAGAGACTAAGTGGATTTTTCTCTCTTCACCATCAGCAGAAATAATAATAAACACAGTTTTAGTCATTCAGTCTATATGAGGAATACGAACAGTCGGCCTATACAGTCTAAGTTCAGTGTCCTGAATTGCCACCTTTCTTCTAAATGACCATCACAAGCTTGTTGTCCATTGAATCAGTCAAGGTTTTATTTCTATGGATAAGGACGAAAATGTTTTTAAGTACAAACCATCTTTTCAATATTTTTAATCAGCAGATTTCCCCACTTCACATTCTTCACTACACTGTTTGTGTTTATACTTTGGTTGTGTTTTGAATAAACTGGTTATTGTCACGTTTCACGGAGCAGGCGAGCAGGCGAGTAGAGCCGTAAAGACGGACAAACGGGGTTTATTGAGGGATCCGGGCGGACATTGAATATCAAACATGACACTACAATGACGGACCTGGAGAATACTGACTGACACGGACTAAATACGAAAGACAGGCTGAACTGAACAAGCAACAGATGATCACAATCAGGAAGTAACACGAGGTAACGAGGTGGGCGTGGCACACACGAGGATCGGACGAGCCGGGCGTGACAGTTATGAAGAAGCTTGCGCTATATAGGTGGATTATCCTCCTGAGCCCCCACCCATTCATTTATGTCCTTTGAGGTGGACATTTTATTTTTGCATCTATCTTTTCACTGATGTTAGGAAACGTATTTATTCCTGTTGTACACTTAAGAGGACATGCTGTGAATTTATTACCTCCAAAGACAAATAACCTAAAATTGAAGGACACTTTTTTCCTTGGGTCTCAGGAGGATATATATGGCTTTATTTATTTATTTCGCTGTGTTTGGGGGCGGGATTAGGGGTGGGGGGGGGGGGGGGGGGGGGGGGGGGGTGCTCAGCAGAGCCTCAGCAAAGGGCACCCAGGCCCGGCTCTGCTGGCTTGTCTCGGTTGCCCAGCACCCTACATGCAGCTGACTCCTCACTTATGCTCATGCCGGACCCAGATCTCACCCGGCTCACCTTCACGTCCGTCACGGTGAAGCACAGTGTGGAGCATCACATTGTGACAACCGGAACGCCAGTCCATGCCTGGGCCCAACATTTCGATACGGGTACCCTAGTTCTTGGTAAGGCTGAGTTTGAAGAACTGTAGTGCCTTGGCATTGTATGGTATTACAACATTGTCTGATCTTCATGTTCACCTACATTCTTGCGCATGGGTTTATACGGGGAGTGCACTTCTTGGAGGGAGAAGAGAAAATGAACTAGTAAGGAGTAAAAGAGATGTTTTGGGTGTTTTTGTCTTATCTTGGTCTGCTGCCATATCTTTCTCCGCCACGGTGGAAACAGAGGCATCTTAACTTAGCCTGTAGCTGAAGCTAATCTTCACGGAGACATCAGCTCTTATCATACTGACATTCCTCTGCCAGATATCAGCAGCTGTGTTTTGTTCAGTGATAACTTGGGGGAAACATTTACATACTGAAACCACAACACACAAAGACCCCATTAGTCCTAGTCTGGAAAAAAAGACAAAATACAAAAACATTTTGTATAACCCCTTTAATTTCTACGTACATTATTAAATTAGAAACTCTGTATTATCAGAACCGACAGAACAGCTGATTCTGGGCCAGATCCACCTGCATCTTCTTAAATCTGGGTGCCAGTGACATTCGGGCAGAAGAGTCTGCACCAGAATCTATCCGGAGTTCTAAATGATTACAGTTGGTCTGTATACACTTTGATGATCCAGCACACATTCACCTGACCATATATGTATGATCAGTCACTTACCAGGTCCGGCACACATTCGCCTGACCGTATATGTATGATCAGTCACTTACCAG